GGTCGGTGTCTGGGTCTGGAACCAGGTGCGCCAGGTACACCAACTTGCTGTCGCTGGCCGGGACCGCCGTTTGCCGTGGGACCCTGAGCGTACTGGTGCTGCGACTGGGGCGGTGTCGGCTGCTGGGGGGGCTGTCTCTTGCTCGGGGCACGGCTGATCTGGCCAGACATGGCCGCTTGGGCCTGAGCTAGGGCCTGCTCTTGCTGCTGCTGCATGAGTTGCTGCTGGTAAACGTTCGCCTGGGCTGTCTGCGCGTTAGGCGTGGGGGGCACGTAACCGGCGGGGGCGCCAGCACGCGAGTTGGATCGGGATCGGGATCGGTGCTCTCCACGATGCTCTTCGGGTAGCATGGGAACGTTGCTCTCCTTGGGCGGCTGATAGGCGACCGGGGGCAGGTCCTCGGCGGGCTGAGACATTCCAATGCCGGAGTCCTTGCCGGGATAGTTGGAGGGAGCGGACCTCATCGACGAGGGCATGCTGACGGGGGGCTTCGGGGCCGGGCGGCTGGGCATCAGGTTGATGTCCTTGCCGGAGCCTTTACCTCCCGAAACTCCAGGGACGGGCGGCGGCTGGCGGGGGTTTTCGAAAGATCCTTCATGATTGACAGTTGGAAACCTAGGGCTCGCAGGTGGACTGATCATTGGTGACATACCCATATAAGTGGTTGGCGGATACATGCCCGGCGACATGGCACCCGACGGCGAGTTCGCGTTTGCATACTGACGGTAGTCAGGCGCTCTAGCATCGTGGAATTTCTCCAAAACTTGATCCTCGGCTGGCTTCTCGGTCGTTTCCTTGTAAAATGTGATGATGTCAACCATGGTCTGGGGGTTCTCCCTACGTTCCTTCTCGGGAATTCCACTCTCGTTGATTAATCTCTGCCATTCTTTGGGGAGACCCTGTATCGTAGAAAATCGTCAGCTACACCAAGCACACGAGGACAAAGAGGAAGTACGAAAACAGAGAACGAGTAGAGAGTCGACTGCTACACAAGAGAGCCAAACATGGAGCTGGAGGGGAAAATGGAAGGGCCAGACTGACGGTGAACTGGCCAGTAGAGCTGTCGTAGCCAACGTGGGTGACATGGACGGGGTTCTCAGGCGCAGAAATGACTGGCTTCTTTGGGGTGCCGACGAGGCTATTCATGAAGCCAGAGAAGCCCGACTTCTTGCGCAGGACGCCCATGCGGGGCTCCTTTGCCTCGTCTGAATATCTCTTGGGGCTGATCATTGAGTTGTCCGTCACCCGTCCGCCTTGTGATTTTTCGTTCATCATGGAGGAATCGTTCGTGAAGCTCTGGGACTGTCTCAGGGCGGGACCCTTGATGCGCGAATCGGTCGCTGACTTGATGAGCGGGGCGGGAGCGTTGTGTCGGTGGTAGTTGGGGGTGTTGAAGTGAGGATGCTGACCGGCGACAGGCGACTTGGTCTGCTCGATGCGGTTCAGGACCGCAGCACCGTCAAAGGGAGCGCCGATGAATTCGTCGTGGGGTTGTGACGACAAAGGCGAGGGAGCGGCGGGATCGAGCGGGCGATCGGTGCTGTGGGCGATGCCGACGGCGAAACCGTTACCTGCAGGACTGTTGTTGGTGTTGTTGTTTTGGTAGAAATTGTTTTGGTGATTGAAGTGCAGCTGATGGTGGTGAGGAGAAAAGGCGTGGGCGTGGGTTTGGGCGTGGCCGTGAGCAGCAGCAGCAGAAGCGCCAGCGGCAGCAGAAGAAGCGTGGAAGGTGGAGGAGGAGGAGGTCTGGGCCTGGGCGTGGAGCTGGGGGTGGTGGTAGGCAGTTGGGGAAGGAGCAGCAGATCCAGCGACGGCGGCGAACTGGCCCTGAGGCAGAATGGGGGAAGGATTGGGAAGGTGCGTCTGACTTGATGGAAGGTGACGGGGCGAAGAGCTGTTGGAAGCGGCAGAAGAAGCAACGCCGGGTAGAGGAATACCAGAACTCTGAGCCGAGCCAGAAGCAGAAGCAGAGGCAGATGCCGAAGCAGAAGCAGAGGAATAAGCAGCTGCTGGCGCGTTTGAGGAGGTCGTCCGGGCTGGTGGAGCGGAAGGAGCGCGCTTCAGCGACGTAGAGCTGCGTTTGCTCTGGAGAGAGAGGGCGTCGATGCCACCATCGAGACCGCTCGAGGAACGGGTGTGTTGCTGGTAGGACGAGGGCGGCTTCTTGGTGAGCCTGCGACGTTGGGAGGTGCCGTTGGAAATAGTCGTGCTCTGGCTGCTATCCATGATACACCCTAAAAAGTCTAAAACGTCGAAGAAAGGGAAAGGAAGGGAAAAAAGAGGGTATGAATAGAGGGTGTGTGAGGAGGAAAAAACTCGGTACGGGCACAATGCGATGCTGTCTCCCCTTGGACTTGTGCTCGAGACGTGGAGTGGACGGCGGGAGAGGTACGCACGCGGCGGCGGCGACGACGGTTGTGTGGTAGTGGTGGTGGTGGTCTGTCTGCCTACCAACTCTCCGTCTCTTAAGAGTCTACGGTCCTCAAGCTGGAGGTGATAAGGCTTTGGTGGGCAAGGTATACTGAGGTGTGTGGAGGGGCCAGTAGTACCAGCGAGAACTGTGTAGATGGCAGCACAACTACAAGTACAGTCGCAGTGACAGCCGTGTCTCGAGACTTTTCGAGTCGGGGAGTGAACCGGGAAGGCGTGCAAGACAGAGGGGAACGGTTTAGCCTTGGTCTTGGTCTTAATTAGCAAGCAGCGGCGGTAATCGATCCAAGCATAAGGTATGGAGCCTTAGAGTAGGTATAGGTAGACCGTACGGAATTTGGGACGGTAGGTACTTACCTAGGTACCTGGGTACTTAAGATAGCGACCGGGCACCCAAGGTACTGTCTACTGGTCCACTGACCTGAGGTTCTGTATAAAAGTAGGCGCTGGGTCGCAGGCTCGCAGCAACTTCTGTGCTTGATGGGGACCGGGACACGCTGACTGTCACTGGCTGAATGGAGACGCAAGAAGTGGATTCTTGGAACCGTATGAGGTGAGGTGAGGTGGGTTGCGGAGCGAGAGGAGTGAAGTGGACGACGGAGCGACGGGGGATTGTTTTACTGGGACCCGGAGGCTGGCAAGATTCGAGAAAAGCTGGCAACTGGGGGCAAACCGCCAGCAAAGCCGCCAGCACGACAACAACTCTGTGGAAAAGAAAAAAAAAATACGTATGGGTACGGATATGAGAATCTTAGGTTCTGGGTAGCGAATAGCTCCTAGTGGAGTGAGCAATCACCAAGGTGGATGGGAGCGCAGGCCGTCAGACTAGGGCAAGAATGGGACTACTCTCGCTGATTACCTTGGTGCTGCCGATGCTGGTTGAATTTGCTGGGAACCAACTTGCCTAGGGAATGTATCATGTATCCGTAGTGTGCGCAGTAGACTGCCGGAGTGTACATGCAGCGGGGGATAAGACGAGACAAGACTGGGCTGGACTGGGCTTGGTGGGACGCAGGTTGCACGGTACAGAATCACAGAGTGCGCAAAGAAGGACTCGACAGATTCAATGCAGTCCAATGGAGTGGTATGTCAGTGACTTGCTTTCTTCACGGGCTGCAAGACTGACTGCAAGAGACATCACCCGACAGGATCCAGGAAGCAGAACAATTGACCAAGTATCCTTATTAGAGAGTACCTTACTGCGTACACTGAATGGAACAACACTCGTAGCGGGTGGAGTTGGAGGTTCCATTTTGCTTGTTCTGGTCTCCTGCTTCGCGTGTTTCTCACTCTGTTTTGGTTCGGGTGCTTGGAAGAATAAAAGCGGGGGTTGTTCAGATTGAAGTGGGAGAAGGCACGAGAGGGACCGGCTGGAAGAGGTCAAGTCAAGTGGGCAGGCGTAGCAGGGCCGCAAGATGGGCGTGGCAGCTGGTGGGTACGAAAGTATCGGAGGATGAATTGGCGGACGGGCTACCTTAGCCTGGGGGCCGTGTGGCCGTGTGGCCGCGGCCGTGTGGTGTGGTGGTGTGGGAAAAGGTGGAGCAAAAGCCTGTGAGGTGGGGTCTCATCCGGCAGCGTCAAGTACGTACTTTTTTGGTCCTCTCGGTGCCTTCCATTTCATTGCCCGGGCAGGTGCAAGATGCCCCAACACGCCTTACTTACCTAAGGTACGAAGTACATACTTACGCTTTGAGATGACAGAGCCCTGGCTGCAGGACTGGATGGGAGGGGCACACACTTTTACCTTGACCAAGGCACGAAGCCTTGCTTTGAGACTTCAGATGGTTGTCTGCGAAAGACTCCAATTTAGAAAACACAGTGTGCCATCTGTCTCCAAACGTACATTAAGCTCCCTAACTGGAGCATCGCGGTCCATTCGTACTGAGCCTCCGAGCCTTGAGGTGATTGATTAGCTTTCCAAGGTCTTGGTGTCATTGTGCCCTACCATCTCGAGAAGGATGAAAGCTTAGAAAAGTGATTCGTATTCTTTCTGAAGAACTGACAGCGCATACGGCCGGACTCTGAAAAGGGAAAGACGACTCGACTTGCCAGCGCTCGCGCTTCCCGCCCTGATTGGCCGCGACAGGCAGCCGACTCAGGACTGGCCAACTTCAAACTTGTGATGCGTGCTTGAAGGTGCTGGAGATGCGCTGCAGTCGAAAGAAGAAACCTGCCCTGCCCTGTACTTTTGATCCAGCTGCATGTTCCCTCTCATGTTGTAGCGCAAGGTAGTTGTTCAGACCCGTGCTTCGAAATGACCTCATCTCGGGACTTGCTTTGGTTCCAGGCTGACTCCTACGCATACAACCGTAGATTGGGACTGTGACGGAGACAGGCTGGTCGTCTTTAGGCGCCTGCTACCAGCTTCTTTTCTTATTTCTTCTTTCCAGACGTATCACCAATGGTCATCTCTGCGAGCTCATGTCCCGACATGGCCGATCCAGCGAAGGGGCTGGGCTGTTAGTAGCACATCCAGCGGCCCAACCAACAATCGCAATTGAACAGGTGACACCAAGCAATCAACGCCGTTTGGCCTACAGTGTATGACGACAAGATACACTGTTGACCACATGCCATGCCGTGTGCCCCTCATCGTCATCATCGTCGCCGGGACACTTCCAGTGTCCCTGTATCTGTATCCGTACCTATGCTGTCTGAGCAAGGCTACCTCGGGCAAAGCTACGCGAGACGAGCTTACTCCACCAGCGGCGGAACAGCTGCCTTTGAACACAGAGGTGAGGGGACTCGCGCTTGCAGGTCCCTATACCAAGGAGAGGAAGTGGGAGAATGGTGTCTACTATAGAAGCAACTAAGGGGGGCGTGTTCGTAGTTGTGGCAGATGTGCATCGCACAACACCTCGTACCCCAGAATAGAATGCAAAGTATTTTGGCAACAAAAACCCCGAGTCTGAGCTTTCCTCGCCCTGCTGATGGGCTAAAAATGATAATGCAGACAGCCAAGGTACGGATAGACAGGTTGACTGACCTTCACTTACCTAACCATCATCTGCGTGTTCCCCTCAAAGGCTCGACGTCGAATCGCTGGCGTGTTTGGGAGGGTAGGAGAGAGAGCCGGGGCAGAGACACCGGCGCAGGCCCCTGGGCCGCGTCTGTGGTTCAAACTGATTGCTTTCGGGAAGAAGCACAGCAGGCTCCAGTTGAGGAGTAACAGCAACCGGGACCATGCAACCAACAGAGAGCTCGAGAGCAGAGCTACGGCAACTACCACCAGCAACACCCGCGAGGCAAGATAGCTTACTGGTTGCTTGCTACGCTTCCTGAGTTCCTCACATAGCTGAAGTTCCACCGTGCCTTGAAGTTGGGGGCTGCTTTAGGTCAACGTCGGTGCTGTGCGTCTCCAGCCCGCGCCCATGCCCCATTCTGTCGACCCGACTGTGCTTGCTTGTGTGCTTGTCTTATTTGGAGCCATGGGCCTGACGGTCGACCCTTGGTCAATCTCAGGTGCGCGAGGAATGTCTCTGGTCAGTGGTCAACAGGGACTCGCCGATCGCACGGCGGCTCTAGCCTAACGTGCAGCTAAGTTGCAAAAGTAGTGCGGGCATGCGATGCGGTAGGGAGAAGCCAGGGTATTCGGGGGTCAGGGATTGGGGTCGCCGTTGCGGACACTGGTCAGGTCAGTGGGGAGAGGGAGAGAAAGCTGAAGCACCAAGGGTCTTGAATCTAAACCTGGAGCAAGAGAAACTAGAGGAACAAAGGCGACAGGTCGTCTCGGTATGGAACGGCCAGGTATGCATTGCATTGCTGCAAATCCAGTTCCGTACATAGATGCTGTCTGACCCGGCAAGTTGGTGTGGCAGAACAGGAACTCGGAAGCTGGGAGAGCGACGTTGCCTGCATCTCCCGTTCTGGCAGTCTTGGAAGCTCAAATTCAGAAAAGTTACTTGCTTTGCCATTGCTTACGAAAAAGCTCTCGTGTGGGCTGACTGACGTAAGTAATGCATACACTGATTAATGCATATCAGGCTGGCGCAGAATGATGTTTATTCTGTAGATAGCGCGTTGTATGTATGTGACAGTATAGATAGAAGCGTATAGGGTTAGGTGAGCATGCAATGCTGGACTGTAATATCGAGGGAACTGCCTGCCCGCTTCGATGCCAGGTTTGATGGAAGATGATGTGAGGGTTGTTGCTGTCTGCGATGCCTTGGTCCGTGGTGGCCGGCGGCTCGGCATCCCCTGGCGCCTACGTCTTCGAGGAAGGTAGACATCAAACGAGGAGACTCGAAATTGAGAAGGAGGGGGGAGGGGAAAGGGCCGGAAGGGAGGGACGGGGCAGAGGTGGAGGGCAGGCAGGAGCAAATTGGAGTCGAAAGTCGAAAGGCGAGGAAAAAGGAGAGACTAGATGATGGCGTTTGCTTTCTTTTTTTGCCCAAGCTTCTTTTCTGAGGTGCTTGAGCCTTGGGTTGTTTTGTTTGAACTGACGTTATTTCGCGCCGGCAGGGAGATGCTTTCTTGTTGCGTCGGGAATGTCCCAGTGATTGCGACCGTATGGACGGAGATTTTGTCGTACTGGTCTGACATGACATTGGCACCCAAAAAGTAGGAAGCGGGAATAAAGGTCATGATGGAGATGGAAAAAGTCAGATGAAGCCATCAGTTCGAAGAGAGGAAGTTCCTTAATCGTGGCTTCCAATTCATTGACACCTTTGTAATGTAGGTACGTACAGCCTTCCGTGATGATGTCGGCAGGTAAGGTAGAGAAATACCTTGGGTACTCCAGTCAAGGTAGTACCTACCATACTCAGTCTTCCGTACAGCCTCTTTTCATCCGCATCGTCCAGCAGGGGTATGCCAACGAGAACTCGTACAACCTATGCGTTGTCTCTGATCATTAATACCTCGAGAAACCTTACGGTCATCTAATTCAACTACCAACCCACGATGGAAATGAGATGCTCTCATGGTGAGGGTCGCCTTACATGGCGATGCGACACCATCTCAGACGAATACTTGCCCAAAGTTGGGGTGCAGAGGGTGAGACCCTTCCGGCGAAGAATTCTCGCCCACTCATCGATAATTTGCACAGCGACCAGGTCTCACTTGGTTTGGCAAGCCACGGGCCGCTTCAATTAACCGCGGGAATGACCGTCATCTTGCGCTTTCTCCAGCGTATCAGAACATCTTGCTGTCATCTGACGAATCGGCAGCCTAGGATATCGGTACATGCCTCACGGTTCAGAAGAAGGACTTCGGAGATGTAGAGGTAAACTTCGGCCACCCGCCCCGTCCGCTCCTTCCTTTCACCTTCCTTGGGGTTTCCAGCCTGCCACAAGGTAAGGCACGAATATATCGTCGTCCATCCGCTACGACGATCTAGACTACTTTGGTAAGTTACAACCCTCGTTTTTGATCGGACTGAGCCGCCGGGCCGTCGTGTAGTAATATCTAGGGATCAACTGGTATTATCCCACTGTGAGGCACAACGCTACCCAGCTTAGGTAAGATTAGGACCGAACTTGAAGGTACAGCCTACAGAGTACGTATTTTGTCTGACATGCTCTCACGCCGGCCAGAATTTCACAACGGGGCTTCGTTGGCCAATGCGCGTTCCTGGCCTCCTAGGGAATATGAATCTTTGTTTCAAACCATCGGGGACTTGGGCTTTCTGCTCCACAAAGGGTTCAGTAATGCTTCATTCATCTCTTTGGGTTTCTTTTCCCTCACACACTGCAATTGATATATATCTTAATCTTCTCCCTTCCTCAATATCCAATCTGCCAGTCACGAGTGTCTGCATATACCCCCAGTCCATGAGGACCAATATCATCCCCGGCTGGCTGCACGAATCCTTGAAGAATCACGACAATTCTCCTAATTACCTACGTCTTCCCGCCCGTCCTCCCGTTCAGCGCCGCCCTCTAGACCCTTGCTGATTGGGAGGTGATTCCACTCCTTGCTCAAACGAGAGATTATCTTGGGCGGCGACCCATACTACGTACTTAACGAATACACCACCACCACCTTCTCTGTCCGTCCCTATTCCATCGCCAACGTCCGTGCAACCTGGTGGTGTGCACCAGCGATAGTGCTGGTGCCGAGAGGTCATCTTAGATCTACTAATGAGGCGCTCAACTTGGAGAGGAGGATTTCGAAACCGAACCGTGGCTGGCTCCCATCTCCCTTCCAAGAGTAGTGTGGCCGTCATGATCTTATTTTGAACCCCCCTCCATCTCGCTCTCTTCCTTCTGTTCTTAATCAAAAAAGCCGTTACACCAGTCAAGCAAGGTCCCGTTTGCCCGCGTACTAGTCTGAACGAAGAGATGGGGGATGCCGAGAAATGCCCACCAAAGTAAACGGTTTGTGTCTGTGGAAATAATTGCAGGGCTTCTTTGGGGATTACCTGCCGCGCCCTGCTCGTCCATTTCATCTGATTGCGTCTTAGGAGGTCATTCAATTGCTAGGAGATGAGGGTCCTTGATCTATATTTGCTATTTGCTTGTGACTGCTTTGGCTCCATACGGGCATTATGCTTTGAGGTCTGAGCAACCCGCAATTTGGTCGTCATATTGCTTCCATTCCCCAGCAGTCTCGGCGAAGCTTCGAGGAAAGCTACTGTGAGACAACCTCATTGCCAACACCACGCATTCACGCAATTGTGTGCGGTTTTTCGATCTCGCATGTACGCGATACCCAGACCAAGGTGAGTATACACATGTGTAATGATTGGCTTTGTGGTGGCTGGCAACTTTGGGCCTTCAACGGATCGATCCCAGGGGAGGTTTGTCGGGCCGTACTGTGCTTCAAATTGCCTTGCCGCCTGCTCAGAATACCCCGCGATTTGGGCTTGATAGTCAGGCTGAGGAGACTCATGGATCATCCCTCTCATGACGCGAACTCGAGATCCCAGGTTCCGGCGGGGCAGTTGATTATCCGCGAAACATGACTGCGATCTCCGTTTCTAAATCTTGAGCAGGGTGCGTCACGGTCATGTCGAGGAGCTACCAGGCCGACATCTCCGAGCCGACTACCTTATCAGGCGCGTGAGGAATTCCGGCCCTGGGCACTCTCTACTAGCTTACTCATTCGATGTTTCCTGACCAGGAAAGGGGAAGAAAGGAGGAAGGTATAAGGTTGCGTAGATCCTAGCAGACTCGTCCATACACGGCAAACTTCATCATGCCCCAACTTCTCGGGTGCATGAAGGGTCCGACTCACACGTTCATCTAAGGTATTGGTCATCTGGGGAGGAAAGGCTGAGTCTAAAGAAAAGTTTCTTTCGTTCACAATGCTTTTGTGGGAACAATAAACCACCGTCTGCTGGATGGTGAGGATCTCACCACGTGGATGACAGCATGGTGCACCACTAGTCAACATGTAGATGACTCCCCTGCGATGTCTCCATTTCCTTTTTTGATGGATCTTTGCTGATACTTTCGAAGGGGCCATGTGAAAGGACTATGGAGAGAGTGGGTTTGCAAGTTAATGACGGCGATAATAGTGTCAGTAAGAACAGGAACCTTGGCCAAAGTGGGATACGGATTGTAATGATCGCCCACCTCTCGCATCGACTCCCACTTGCTTACGATGGCACACTGATTGTTGACGAGAAAGTCGCACCTCTTTAGCTGGACGACCTCACGAGATGAAGTTTTTGATCGAATCATGTTTCTCCTTGCTGCCAATGTCTGTCTAGCCATGTCGGACAGAATGAGGCATGAATGCTTGTTTGTACATGGAAAATACACAAACCAAAAGCTCTCTAGCAATCGTCACTGCACCATACAGCTTGCCCTTTGACAAACATTCGACACTGTACGTCGGATACCCAGCCGAGGGATCAAACGATTGGGCAAACCATACTGTCGGTTCAAGATCGACGAGTTAGAGGCCAGATCTCTCGGCTGGAGGTGATTTTCTGACGAGAGGCGATCCGGGTATCACCCTTCTGTATGCCAGGTGGGTGGACTGATGTTGATAGAGTCCGGAGTTGTTGCGATGTATATTCTATCGCTTTGCAAACTCCGCATCTGAATAGTTCTAATGGTTTGGTGAGACCACTTACGGCTCCTCATGTTGGAAATCTCGGCCGTTTGCCCGGAAGGCTTGGTTGTCCTACACAAATATTCTACATATCAGCACTTTGCGATACAACGCAGGTCATTAGTAAAACATATTGGGACGCAGACGAGCACCAGGAGCCATACAAATACCACTGTTCCTGCCTGTTGTCCAAGTCATCATAGGCTTGTCAGTTTTCTATGGCATATGATGTAAGGCGACTTATCTTCATTGGGGACGGAGCGAGGACGGCTAGATATATATGACAAGTCTTGGGTAACTCACGACGGGGAGTGACAGACTGATGAGTGACTCGGAAAGACATTGCTAGTCGGAGGTCTAAATATTCTTTGGAGGGTCCTTACCATAAGCTTAAAAGTTTGCAAACTCGAATCCTGATGATGAAAAGTGGAAGTGGAACAGAACTACATCGTCCGCCCCAAGTATATGAAATGGATTATCTCCAGTAAATTTCTCTTTGCTTCAACCAAGCTTCCGGTCAGAAACTTCTCAACTTCTACTTCAACGATTCAACGTGTCTCTCGCGATCTGTCGACACATAGGCCTTGCTTCTCGTCAACGACGTCTCAAGCCCTAATTGCGCTTACCCTGCAGATTGCCGAGGTAGTCAGATTTACGAGACGAGATGGATACGAACTGAGACAAGCATTCAACGAAGCCGAGAGGTCCTCCTAGCACAGAGTGTAGGTTGCTGAACGTGACCAGCTTCAGAATCCGGCAAGGGTATTTCACCTTCAGAATGGAGACGTTCTTGAGACGGACCATGCTCCGCGGCGTCAATACTTTACGGCGCCAACTTTGACGACTCGGTCCTCGATAGCTTCAACTATTTGGGAATTTCGCGGATCATCGTTGTCCAAGCGCCGGAGGCCGGATATATATGCGGACACCCGACCCCGGGCCCAAGTCGGCAGGCGGCCCCACGTGACGCCGGAGCTCTCATCCGGCCATCGTGCCTTCCAGATGCAACGGCTGACCCTTTGGGCCTGGGCACTCTAACAATTTAGGTTGTGGCTGAGGCTAAGTGTGGGGTCACCAAGAGTGGAGTCGGTTGGAGCACCTCTGGTAGGCGGAACCTTTCTGGAAGTAGCACCCCTGCCCGCGCCAGAAATTCCACTTTCCAATTGAACAGCTCGACCATCGTGGAGTCGAGAATCTTCCACCTCACCCTTATTCCCCCCGAATCCTCAAATCCATCTCCGTAACCTATCCTCCCACTTCTCAAACCATCAATTGGTTGGCCTGTTCCCTTCGCCAACTCCCTCCTTCCCGATTCAACTTCCTGGATACGATTATTGTTGCCGGTCAGGGTCACAATGTTCTAAGCCAGCATCAAATTCCATCTTCCCATCGGTTACTCGCTGCTCTACGGTTTCTCACGCTTCAGTCTTCTTTCATCGGAGGTCTGATTCTACTGGTCTTGTCCCACTGCCGTATATACCATCAGTTGTGAGTATTCTTCTCTTTTTCTTCTCTTCTGACCTCCTTCCCTCAAGGAACGCTCCTG